GGCACCGGCGCATGCACAAAGGGGAGAAGCCACATCATTGCTCTTAGTGTAAGAAGAGGTTCTCCTACTCCTGCAGCCTGTGCTGAACACCAGTGCATCTACACAGGGGAGAAGCTACATCAGTGCTCTGAGTATTGGAGAAGCTTCACCCATCTCAGCACCCACCCGTGGTGCATTCAAACCAGCTTCCTCATGCTGGTGGCCTGCAGAAAGAGTTCCCCCAGGCTTTGCCCCTTGTAGGAAACTGTGGGAGTCCAGAGCCTGGACGCTGGCCCCCAACATATGGTTGGGGGCGGGGGCAAAGAGGAAACACCTCAGGCACAGGTCAGCCCCAATGTGGGGGGAGGAGACGAGGAGGAGATGATCTTTGCATCAGCCTTGGAGCTTGTGCATTCCCCACTATTATCTAGCAGTATTCCCAGGGGAAGAAGTGACTTCACGCTAGGGTGCCCTCTCCCAGATGGCTGACTTCAGGTGACACCCGAGGACTTTCCTTGGCTGCCTCCCAGATTTCTCGTTCCTCCTGGTCCAGGGGTTCTGGTATATGAGCCCCTGAGTTGCAGGGAGGAGTGCATTTACGGCTGGGGAAGCATTCCCTACAATCGTCCCTAACCTCGCCTTTCCTCACCTCCCCATCACCCCTCTTTGAGACCTGCGCATGCCCAATGTGGTCTGCCCCGAGCTGCCACCTGTGAAGTCTTTTTGGACTGTTTTGCTCTTCAGCCTCTGCAGAAGTGTGCACCATGGGGTGCGTGCTGCTCCCTTGAACTCCTCCCCTTTGTTGTATTCTCTCTCATGCATTCCCTGCTACTAAAACCCTAGAATTGGACATGCCACCCCTGTTGTTGATCTCTGTGCCCTCTCCCAAGCTGTGCAATGGGGACAGACCAGGGCCCACAACGCTCTCCAGGGCAGATCTCTCTGTGCCTTCCGGCCCCTTGCCTTTCTGAATGATTCACCACAATGCAGAGGTTGTTGCTAACCCTTGGGAGCAGGAGGTGGTCTGATCCACCCACCCTGCTGCTGCCTGATTAGCTGCTCCCACCCACTTCTGCCCTCTTCCCACAGCAGGACCTGGAGCTGGGTGAGCCAGAGCCACAGGGTGAGCAACCCTGGGCGAGTGACTGGCAACTGGCTCAACAGGTGCCCCAAGCCAGCCCCGTCTCCCCTGTTCCTGTCCTCACCCACCATAGCCACCCATCTGCCCCACGGAGGTGACTGGGGATGTGGGGGTAGTCTGTGCATGGTGCCGGCTCCAGGGGGGTGTCTCCCTCCTTGGGAGAGCAGGTTCTCCACACCGCTGACAGCAACCCTGCCAGCATCCCCCAACTTGCGGTTCTGGAACAGGTATTAGGGTCCAGACGGGTGGTGTGTGCTGGGCCTGGGGTGGGGCATTGGGCACAGGCTGTCCAGCCAAACATGGGGGAATCAGGATGAGTTTGTCCCCTCTTGGGGTTGGTGGGTTGCGGCTGCAGCCCCTGCAGATTCAGGGGCAGGGCTGGAGGTGGGGGCATTACTGCCCATGCCCTGCAGGGCAGGATGCACCAGATGGGGGCAGGGGGAGATGCACATTGATCTGTCACAGATGCTGGTGTCTGTCCCATGTGGCATGTGTGTTCAGTTGGGCAGGTGTGAAGGGAGGCACGGTAGGCAGAGGTGATACCTCATTGCCTTACAGGGGGCATCCTCATGGGGGAGGCATACCTCCACCTGGGGTATGTATGAGGCACACCTAAAGGTTGGACTTGGGTGTCCACCCTTCCATTGGGCAGGTGTGATAGGGGCTGTAATGGGGCAGGGGGTGCTATACTGCCATTGTGCAGCAGGGGGTGCTGTGGGGGTGCCTGTGCTCACCTGGGGCAGGTGTGGGGTGGGCTGTCATGGGGTAGCAGGCTGTGTGAACCCCCATTTTTTCCTCTCTCCTACTTGCACTCCCCAGCCCTGAGCCCAAAAAAGCCCAAGCCCAACTGGTGACCCCACTCCCTGCCGCCCCGGGGGATCTCCAGGGGATCTTGGCTCCATCCCAGGGATTGCTCCTCAGCACCAGGATGGATCTGACCCCCTGGTCAGACCAGTACAGACTGGGGAGCTTTGCCTGCCTTTCTAGTGTGATCCCGGTCTCTGCCTGGGATCCCTGGCATGTGGATTGCCAACCTGTCACAGCAGCAGGCCAACCTGTCGCAGCAGCAGGAGGATGAGCACCCTGGCCCCGCTGTTTTTCCTGGGGCAGGACCAGGTGCGATGTCTGCTCTGTGTCAGGTGTGTGGCAGTTTGGCTAAGAAGTGCAATGATGGGTTTGTCTGGGCTGGTTTGGACAGGGCTGATTCTGACTCAGGCGACTGCTGGACTGGAGGTGAGCTCTGCAGGCCCCCTCAGCCCCTCTCTTCCAGGATTTCCATGATGAGAACGTCCCCTAGAGCCGTGGCTCCCAACCTTTTAGACTGCGGACTGGCAAACGCGGACAGAAAACAGAACCTTTCATAGATGTAATTGCATAGACAGTAGGGCTGGAAGGGACCTTGTAAGGCCATTCCCTTCCTCATCAGCCCTCACATTTTCCATTGCTTTCTTCTTGGTGGCTGGCCATGGAGCTAGTGCTCTCATTGAACTCTCCACAATCACTCCCAGGTCTCTTTCCTGTGTGGTAACAGCTCACGTGGAGCCCGCCGTGGTGTCAGTCCCATTTATACAATTCTCATTCAAATGTGTTCCTGGCCCATTCCACTCAGATCACGAGCCCGTGGTCAATAGAGTGGGGAAACTGAGTCATGGGGAACCAGTGCAAAGCCCGGCACTTGGGAGTAAATAATTGCATTCACCAATCCAGCCTGAGGAATGTATAGCCGGGTTGTAGCCCTGCAGTGATGATGTGGGGGGAGCCAGGGACCATGAGCTGGATCTGAGCCAGCCGTGTGCTTTGGTGGTAAAAGAAATCAGCATCCTCCTGAGCGGCATGAGCAGGAGCGCCCCTTGCAAACCAAAGGCAGGGATCCTCCAGCACTGGGGAGACCTGCCCTGGAGTCCTGAGTCCGGTTCAGGACCCCGCACTTCCAGAAGGAGGTGGACAGGTTGGAAAGAAGCCAGCAAAGAGGGACCCAAAGAATGAGGGGCCTGGCAGGCAGGGGTGTGGGGGACAGGCTGGAAGAGCTCAGTTGCTTGAGTCTGGAGAAGAGAAGACTGAGTGGGGTTTGACCCCAGTCTTGGGACAACACCAGAGAAGATGGAGACAGGCATTTCTCCGTGGCTGTCAGGGACAGGACTAGGAGCAGTGGTCTGCAGCTGCAGCAGGGTAAACTGAGGCTGAAAAGGAGGAGGAATGGGCTGCTAGTGTCCCCACTACAGGGGAAGACTGGCCCTGCACCCCTTCTCTGCCCCTGCTCACCACCGCCAGCAGTCCAGGAAGGGTGTGCGCACATGCCCACCCCATGATGCAGGACAGCGTGCACACACACCTCCATGCAGGAGGGCATGACACACACATGCACACCCCATCCAGGATGGCAGACAGGTGCACACCCAAAACCTCCCCCACAGGTTGCCCCTGGGTGGTCGCAACTGGACTACCAGGCTGAGGGAGGGGAAGGGGAGCTGGGGGAGGAGGCAGGGGTTGGGTGCCAGGTCAGCACTTCTGCCTGCTCCTGCTACCCCTGTGCAAGCCCCACCGGGCCTGCCCAGCTGCCTGCTGCTGGGGAAACCGAGGCTGGAGAGGAGGAGTTGGACTCTGTGCTCATGTGGAGGGGTGCGCTCTGCATGTGAAAGGGACAATGGGGTTTGGGCCTTGGAGAGAGAAAGTGTGTGCTCTGGGTGTGAAAGGCTAGGGGAGTCTGGGCCTGGGGAAGAGTAGGCGTGCGATCTGAGTGTTCAAGGAGTAGGGTAGTCCAGGCCTGGGGAAGAGAAGGTGTGTGCTCTGTGTATGCAAGGGTGTAGGGAGTCTGGGTCTGGGGGAGAGAAGGTGTGTGCTCTGTGTGTGCAAGATGCAGGGTAGTTCAGGGCTTGGGGAGAGAAGGTGTGTTCTCTGTGTGTGGATGGTACTGGGGAGTCCGGGCCTGGGAGGGAGAGAAGGTGTGCTTTTGGCCCTGGCGCTGCTGCCCAGTGCCACGGTCCCCCTGACACATGTGTGCTGCCCAGACACGGCGCCTGTCCACAACCCGGGATGTGGCTCTGGTTCAGGCTACATCCAAGGCCATGTGGAAACAGGAGCGACTCCTGGGACTGGATCCGTGGGGCAGGAGCAGGGGCCATGTACTGGCCTGCGGGGCTGGACCCCCTTGTTTGCACTTGCTAGGGCTCTGAGTTCCCTGCTGCCCCCACCCCAGGCTCCACCTGCGTGAGGCTGGGCTCAAGCATTGCCCGTGTGTGGGGGAAAGCACGAGTGTGATTTGGGTGGGAGCAGACATGGGGAAGCAGGCCCCTGCTCCCTGTGAGTGCTGCTTTGCTGCGGCTGAGGCCAGGTGCCTGGGGACCATCCTTTCTATGCTGGAGGGAGCTGAGGCTCAGGCAGGGCTGTCCCGGGACTGGCTCTGAGGTGTTTCAGCTTCCCCTTCCTCCCCCCATGGTTTCAAGTCATCACTGTGAAAATACTGCACAGCTTCTGCTTGAGTTTTACCAAGCCAGGCAACCAAACACCTCCCATCCTGGGAAAAGAAAAGAAAAGAAAGGAAAAACTCTTGGCTGTCAGGGATCAACTGAGCAACTCCTCACCTGAAGGATCTCTGCCAGGAAGGATCTGGAGGGACACTCTGCACTTCAGTATGGATCCAGGAAGAGGCAATTGCCATTTACACCAGCCTAACATATCTGCAAAGGGCCAACCAGAGTACGGCGCAGGTTCATCCTAGAAAACTGATCCATTTTTTATCTGCAGACTCAGTCTTTACCTGCACCCGTCAGCCTGGCACATGAAGGGCACGCGTC